ACAAAAGCCAGTTGTGGAAAACAACTTTACATGTGGGCTACACATGATAAATAAAGTAAGGTGTTATATTATGGGACAGATAGAGTAGATAGTATACAACCCGCCAAATGTTAATGCATGATGAACAAAATAAATTAAAAAGACGTGCTGGCTAATGCGAGCGGATGCCAAATTGATCGACAATGACAAGAAAAATAGTGAGCTTACATTGACTTGATTGAACCAGCAAGAAGATCAACCGCAAAGCGCCCCTGAATCCTGCTAAGCTTCCGAGCTGTATCACCAGCAGGCAGCAGCTACGCTGAAGGAAAAGCGTAGCTAGAGAGTGTTGCGGAGGCATATATGCATGCTTGCCGTTGTGTTCAAGACTCCAAGTCGAAGCTATCTATAACACATGAGCTCCATCGCGCGTCCAACAACAGCCTAAAGAAAGCATAGCTGTGTGCTATGTGTACACACTGCCGGCATGCATGCATGTTACCTTGTTTGTACTCCCTCCGTTCTTAAATATTTGTCTTTCTAGAGACTTCAAATGGACTACCATATACGGATGTATATAAACATATTTTAGAGTGTGGATTCACTCATTTTGCTTCGTATGTAGTCACTTATTGAAATCTCTAGAAAGACAAATATTTAGGAACAGAAAGAGCATGTACGTGAATGGTTGCATCGATCTTGTGTACACTCACTCACCGTTAACGTTAGGTAACGGAGACAAGCTAAATTTGGAAGGAGGTGAGTAGCCAAGTAGCTAGGTTGGTGGCTTGTCAATTGGTGGAGTACTATAAATTTGGAACGACGCCCATTATTCCATTAATTATAAGCATGCGAGTAGGTTGGTACGTAGCATGTAGGTTGGTGGAGTACATATATATAGGTATGTTGTCGATCTCACGCATGTATGCTGCCTAGCTAGCCACTTGAATATATGCTAAATTGATTTCCATTTGTGGTCATCATAGCGCCGCCATTTGTGTTCATCATAGTGCCGCTACATATATGCATATCGATGATTTATTTAGTAATCTATATGCTCTTAAGCTGGCTGTAATGAAGTGTATCATATACTAGTATCATGCATATGATACTACTGTATGATATTACCTCCTTAATGCTTAGTATCATATATTAGTATCATGTACTCCATCCGTTCCTAAATGTAAATTTTTTAGACATTTCAAATACACTATAACATACGGATGTATGTAGACATATTTTAGAATGTAGATTCACTCATTTTGCTCCGTATGTAGTCACTTATTGGAATCTCTAAAAAGACATATATTTGGGAACGGAGGGAGTAGTACTTTATTTATTGTCATGCATG